CTTTTACAATGGCTTTTCACAAGCTCAGCCACAACCTTTAACAATGGTTTTTCATAGAATCAATCAAAACTCAAAACTAACTTTTCTAAGGATAAGTTAAAACTTACAATAATAATTAAGCTAACCCAAGCTTGATCTACCCTTTAGAGAAAAGATGAAGTATAATTGATCACCTAGTTAATCTACGATGTACAAAGTTAAGTTCAATACTTTTACAAAGGCTGGGAGTCAAATACAAGTGTAAAGAGAAGGTTTTTGGTCTTCTAAGCTCAAAATCACTTTAGATAAGTTTTATATATGATTTTTGACTGTTAGATAGGCTTTAAATACTTGCAAAATCACTTCTGATCATTAGAGACAGAAACTAGCTGTTTCTGGCTATTATTTTGTCCTTTTGTGCTTAAATTCAAACGTCCAGACAATGGTTCATTAACCGGTTAAAGGCAAGCTCTAACCAATTAAGTCTTCTCTGACTTGCACACTGCTTCTTTGTGTTAACCAATTAACAACAGCTTTAACTGATTAATAACTTTCTATTTTCAAGCACCTTTAAGTACTATTTTTGGCCAGCTTCCTTTCAACAAATTAATACTTCTTTTAACTGATTAAAGCTTATCTCCATTCATCCTTAACTAATTAAAATAGGCTCCAACCAATTAAGAATTCTTCAACTTTAAATCTCTTTGTTTGATGCCTTGGACTGTCATCAATATTTTGAATTTGAATTTTGGTGCTTATTAACACTTTAAATTTGACCTTTAACTAGTTAACTAATTTCCTTTAACTGATTAAAAGGCTTCTGTTTTGCATCCAACACCCACTTAATTGATTAAACATTGTGTTAACAAGATAAGACCTTTCTAACTATCCTTAGTGTAATGCTTAAAATTGCTTTAATCAATTCTGAATTTGTGTTAATCAGTTAAGACTAATTTGTCTTCATTAAAGCTCTTTATTCTTTGCATCTTTAATTAATTAACCTATCTTGTAATAGAACAAGCATCTTGACTTACTTTCAAATACCAAATATATTAATGAATCTAAGCTTTCTCCTACACATTTAAATAATATAATTAGACA